CTGGGCCGCGGAGAGGTGAGCGCGGCGCGTTTGGGAGAGCCCCTGCGCTGCCATGGGGCACCCCGGGCTCGTTGCAAGGGGGGACTTGTCCAAATTAACCCTTCCGGCAGCCGCCTCTGAGACGGGGCTCAGCAGCAGTCGAGCTGGGCAGGGAGTGGGCTCGGTGGAGCTCACCGGGGAGCTATTCCAGGTGGGAGTGAAAGGCTGTAGTTTCCTTCCCCTTGAGGAAACTGGCTCCATGGCAGTATCAGAAATTCTCCTTTTGCCCCAAACCAGCCCACTGTCTCCCAGCACCGAGGTTTTACAGAACAAAACACTTTGGAGGAAGGAGTGGGGCTTGGACTGTTTGTCCATGCAGCAAGGGAGCGGGAGCAGGGCTGGGGCTTTGCTGCCTGCACAGGGCTCTAAGAGCTCCCCAAAGCAGGTTGTGCCCCCAAACCTTCCAGGCAGCTTCCTGTGGGTCCCACTCCCTTTGGAGCTGTCCCTTTGCCGTATGGGTGGGGGGAGAGGGCCCTGTAGTGCTGGGCTGCAGCATCCCGGTGTGCTTAATCCTCCCCCTAAGTCCCCCAAACGAGGTGAAAGGCTTCACCCCTCTGCTTCTTGCCCCCACGCAGCATGGATGAGGAGCCTGGCAGCCCCCAGTCCCACAAGCCCAAGCAGGTGAGGAAATCGGCCGCAGGGCAGCGGGTGCCCCCTGCACACGTGGTCCTCCCGCTTTCCTAGTGGCCGGTGGCTTTTCAGCTCGGCTGGGCATCCCGAGAGCCCGTGTCCCCTGCAAAACGCCAAAAAGGAGGCAACAGCCCCAAGAAGCATGGGGCGAAGCATCCCAATCCTCTTGCAAAATGTCTTGGGTTGCAACACACGGCCCCTGCACCACGGGATCTGCCCTTGGGGGATTCTTTCCCGCCAAACCCTTGGCAGAGAGGTGGAAACGTTCTCAATGTGGTGGAAGACGCACCCCTAATCCGGGCAGGATTACTTATGTCACCTTTCCATGCTGACGCCGTGGGCCCACATGTTTATGGTCCAGCTAATTGCCATGACGGCACGCTCCGTGTTGCATTAATCAGCGTTATTTATAGCAGGGGCTCAGCAGGATTAGGGGGGCTGCATCTAATCCCTGAGCTTCCGCATGGCCTTGCTTCACGCTGACCTCAATCCCCACGTAACCGTGTTCCTGCCGGCTATTCCCGGGCACGGCACTGCCTCCTGCCATCCCATCCGAGTGGGTGGCGATGGGGGCGAGAGGCAGCGGGCGCCCAGCTTGGCTCGACCTGCCCCGTCATCCGTGTCCCAGCTCATCCGATGGGTCCCTCCCCATCCCACCAAGGGGGTAAATCACAGAGGGCCTCTGGCCGTTGATGACCACATGCTCGTCCCGATGGCCACTTCTGCGGGCAGGGAGGGAGGACTGTGCCCAGCAGGGGTGACGCCTTCCCTAGCATCCAGCAGAGGAAACTCCAGCCCAGCTCATCTCACCCCATCCCAGGGGCTGGGGTCTTGTGCAGCCCAACCAGCAGCAGCAGGAAGGAGGCTGCCTAATTCATCCAAGGGTCTTCTGGATGCACCAAGATCCCGTGTTTGAAGCCCCCAGTGAGCACGCGGAGCCCATCCCGAACGCTCTCCAAGGGCGCTGGGGAGAGGAGCGCTCTGTCCCATTGCCCTTTCCCAGCGTGGTGACGGTGTCCGTGCTCACAGGATGCTGCAGCAGGGATGTTTCTCCCTCCGTGCAAAGCCCAATTCAACACGTTTTGGAAAGGGCTCCCCCATATTTAATAGTGGGGGCGGCCGTTAGGAGAGTGAGGAGGAAAACCGGCCGTTCCCTGTCTCCCGCAGCCACGGCCAGTGCAGAAGCTGAAGAAGAAGCGGCAGGAGCCCGTGCTGGAGGTCAAACCCCGGAGGTTGAAGGTGAAGAAGGCGGCAGACTCAGGCACCACGGAGGAGCCCTCCATCCCAGTCCAGGGTGAGCGGCAGGGCCGGAGACCACCCTCTGGCACAGGGATGGAGGGGATGGCTTTTGCCATGGGTCCCATCCCAGTGCCATCCACCTCGGGGCTCTCCTGATGCACACAGGTGTCAAGAAGCTGAGGAAGAAGAAGGAGGAGAAAGGGGAGGAAGAGGGCGACAAGGACTCCCATGCTAAATCCAAAGAGCCCCGGAGGAAGAAGGAGCCTCCTTCCACCCCTGTCCATGTTGCCAAGGTTGTGAAGAAGAAGCAAGGTGAGGAGACACCCACGGGTGGTGGGTCCCCGTGCCCGGGGTTCCGTGTCCCAGCGTGCGCAGCCACGAGATGGCGGTAGCCTTTGCGCACCCGGCACCGGACACAGCCGAGCTGTGACCAGCTGCTCCGTCGCTGTGGCCCGTGTTTTAGCTGTTTTGTCCTCACCGGACAGAGCCTGCTGAGGACTCAGAGGATGAGGAGGAGGGGGAGGAGGAGGAAGAGGAGGTGGTGAATAAAGATCCACCAAAGAAACTCAAGAAGAAGGTGCCCAAGGAGACGCCCTCGGCGGAGGGCAAGGAGAAGAAGGCGAAGCTGAGGGGTGAGCACCGTGGTGGGTGAAACCTGCCAGGGTCCAGTGACATGAGAACATCCTGTGGGGTCCATGTGACCCCCCCCACTCTGGTCTGCCCGGTCCCACTAGGAGACAAGAACGAGTCTGAAGGCAAAGCCAAGTCTGCCCGAAGCACCAAGAAGGAGCAGACATCCATGTTCCAAGTCAACGGCGAGAAGAAGGAGAAGAAGAGCAAGAAGAAAGGTAGGGGAACGAGGGGGGGCCCCGACAGTGCGCCCCGTCAATGGGTGCCCTGTGACACCCGCCACGTCCCGCAGCCGCTGCCAGTAGCGATGAGGAGGACGACTCCGACGCCAGCACCAAGCCCATCCGGTCAGAGAAGAAGAACCCGGCATCCCTCTTCCAGACAGGCGGGGACCCCCCCAAGGAGAAGAAGACCAAGAAGAAAGGTGGGAGCCGGGTGGATCTGGGCGAAGGAGACGGACCCCCCTCTGCCTCCAGTGGTACCACCATGGGCTCCGCTTTGGGAGGTCCCTGGGGTGGAGGGGTCTGGGCGGGCACCTCATCCCCCACTTGGAGGCCATGACGCCACCGAGACGTGCTGAAGAGCCTGGTGGCTCTTCACTCCCCAACACCCCTCACCGTTCTTGTGTCTCCCCCCTCAGCTGTCCACAAATCCGCAGACACCGGGAGTGCGGAGCAGAGCCCGGAGCTGAGGAACTCCAACAGGAAGGGCAAGGGCAGGAAGGCCAAGAAGGTGAGGAGTTTGGCAGGGGGGTTGCCTGGGGAGGCCTCGCCCGGTGTGGGGGGGCCAGGGCCGCCTTTGCTGACGTCCCCTCGGCCACCGCGGGGCGGTGGCAGAAGGAGGAGCGGGCGCCGTCGCCCCCCGTGGAGGTGGACAACCTGGAGGAGTTCGTGCTGCGCCCGGCGCCGCAGGGCCTGAGCGTCAAGTGCCGCGTGACGCGGGACAAGAGGGGCATGGACCGGGGGCTCTACCCCACCTACTACCTCCATCTGGACAACGACAAGAAGGTGGGCGGCCGCAGGGGGACCGGGGTGGCCCGGGGACCCCCCTGGCACAGCCACCACAGGCCGTGACGCCCACGGTGACGTCCAGGTGTTCCTGCTGGCCGGGCGGAAGCGCAAGAAGAGCAAGACCTCCAACTACCTCATCTCCATCGACCCCACGGACTTGTCGCGCGGCGGCGAGAACTTCATCGGGAAGCTGAGGCAGGAGCCCCCCGGCGCCCCATTCTTCCCTTTGCTGGGCCCCACGTCTCCATTTCCCCCACAACCTCCCTGCCCTCGGTGTGTTGAGCTGTGCAGGGCTCAGCCCCGCCATGCGGGACGTTCCCGGGGGGATGTTCATGTGTGTGTGTCCCTGGTGGGGGAGAACAGGCTCTCCCAGTTCCTGCCGGGAGAGGGAGGCAGGGCGGGGCTGGCAGGCGCACCCG